TTGCTTTAAAGTTTTAAATTATAGCTAACTATTCATCAAACAGATTTTCTATGATTCATTCCTAATTTGAAAAAAGCTGGATGTGGCGTTGTAAAGTGCCAAGTTATACTTCCTTTCTCTTATGGTGCACAGTAAAATGTGCATAAATATTAAACGTGAACGGATTTCAAAACTCTGTTTGAAAAAAACTTTGGCGATATTGCTAACTGCATTTTTAAGAGGTCGTGGGCTCTATGTCTTCTCTGATGACGAAGTTACAGTGATTCTCTGAAATAGTAGAATCTAACTATGTATCAGCTCTAGATCATGTCTACTTTGATAAATCACGATGAAAGTTGTACTGTGGGTGCCCCTTAATGTGGCCACGCATGTCTGAAAATTTCAGGCTGATCGAAACATCTTAAATGATATCATTCTTGATAGGTGGGGATTGGATCCGCATAAGATTACTATTCCTTTGTCTATGCAATTGGCACCCCTGCTTGTATGCACTATACGACTAGCATTAGCATGATATTGAATACATTGTACCAATTTTAGCGACCTGTTGGTCCTTAAGCCACAGTGTTATCAGATGAATTCAGGACAGAAAGAAGAGTGAGAGTGTGTATAAGATGCAACAATCTAGCATCAATTTTTATGTTAGGGCAAGGGGAAAGGGCGGACTTGAAGTAGAAAAGTACGTTAAAGTACAGAAGTACTTGAAAGTACTTAAGAGTAGCTTAAAGTAGCTCAAAGTAGTTAAAGTAACTAGAAAGTACTTGAAATTACATCAAAGTAACTGGAAAGTACTTTTAAGTCTGTTAGAGCATTTCTTAAATCTCGAAGGTACATGAGAGAACATTGCATGCTGTTTGGAAACGTATGAAAATACTTTTATTGCCTCATGAAAATAGATAAATTACAAATGAAACATAAAAAACAGAAACAAAGTTTATTAATAATCATGAGAAACTTGTTGTCTGACACGAAATAAACGACCATTGGATAATTTCACTGTGTTGTTCGATAACAAGCTGACTGCTTGTGGAGATATTTGATATGTCCATTTATTTTCATCTTAAAATAAGATTGCCTTAAAGCTGGATTTATATGATCAACTAATCGTATTCCATTAAAATGCGACTTTTCTGTGCTTAACATATCTTCATCATCACTAGTAGGATCATTTGGGTAGTCCAATAAACCTTCATCAACGGACTGATGTTGTGTAGAATACATATCATCATTATCGTCATTTTCTTCGTCTAATCCAAACTCATCAGCCGTGTTATGTGATGCTGGCGATGAATAATTAATCATTCTTGAATTGTTATTTAGCGTGTCGAAGATGCATTTACTTAAATCACTAAGATTGTTAATATTATGTTGATTCAACTGATAGTACATTTTTGAATGTTTAACAACATCTATTGCTTGATCATAGGCGGCTAATATTATATGTTCGATATCTAAAGTATCGATGTCATCTAATTGATTTGAAGATGTTGATGAATATTCTTGTTTGTGTTTGTGGTGCACTGGAAATGATATGCTCTTGTTCAATTGACCATACTTCAGTTGATTTAATATTGAGAGTTGTTGCGAGCGCCGCAAAAAGTCTTTTACTGTAAAATTAATTTTCGTCGAGAATGTACCACTTAACGATCTGGCATCTCTAAATATTGACTCGCAAGCCTGTGAATTAAACAAAGTATGCTATTTAATGCTTGTTTTGGTAAACGTTTTTGTTTTACTAAAAGAATCAAATATAAGAGGTTATGAGCATTTAATTCAACAGATAAATATGCTGGTCTTGTAATAAAATAACTATTAATATTCTTCTTTGTTTCCCTTATAACTTTTCCGTTTGCTGATGTTTTGAAATTTGATATTTTTTGTAAGTAACACAACCACAATCGACAAACAAATACAACACACCATGCTGATTGAATACCTAAACAGAAATCAATTGTTAAGTTTTCGGATTTAAAAAAGAAGACATACGTTCATGAATATTTGTTGATTTGTCAACATATGCTTTCACTATCATTCTTAGTAATACTAGATAGGTAAAAGTTCCATTTGAATTCGCATCATTTTTGAGAAGATTTAGCACATCATCTGAAATTAGCTTGATACATGAATGATAATTCTGACGATTATCAAAAATAATATATTTATGAATCAGTGCATAAAGAAAATATGTATGTAGTAATGTTTTAATAATTGTGCAATAACTTATATTTCCCAAAAGTACTTCTTAGTACTTAAAGTTACCTGAAGTACGCTGAAGTTACTTGAATTACATCGAAGTTACTTGAAGTACACCAAAGTTACTTCAGGTAGCCAAAAGTTACTTCAGGTAGCCAAAAGTTACTTCAGGTAGCCAAAAGTTACTTCAAGTAGCCAAAAGTAGTCCAAAGTATGAGACAAGTACTTGAAAAGTACCTCAAAGTAGTGAAAAGTAACTTCAAGTACAAAAGTCCGCCCTTTCCCCCTTGTGTTAGGATCTGAAATCATATCCATTCTTTTTCAAATACGAGAGATTAGTGTAGTTGAAGCTTGAAAAACAGTAAATTATACCCAGGGCGAGACACCAGATGGCAAGATCTTACAAAAATCGTACGTTTGATAATATCTGATCTTATCAGATCAGACGAAAAATCGTCGTCTCTGATTTCTTACACTAAGTCATATCAGACGATATTTGAAAGATTATGTTACCCATGAAATATCACTGTGATATTTTAATTAAACTAATATCTCCTTAAAATATCACGACAAATTTGTATTGAAAATAAATTGCATGTGTGATCTTTAAAGAAAATATAGTATGATCTGATGCAAGATTTCAGAGATGACGATTTTTTGTCTAATGCTTAGAAGATTTTGTTCGAGTTGTACGATCTTACGTCAGATTCTTCGACTTGGGTACCGAAAGAGCACAACATACAGTCGAGGGTCAAGCGAGTCTAAGCGACGAGCGTTACTTCTTTGTTAGGTCATGTTTTAGTCTTTTTTACTATCAAAAGGGATCAAAAACATTCTCCTTGTCCATTTTGAATATAAGACGTTGTGAAAATACAAAACTATTCTTTCTATGTCATAAGACTTGTTTTTTTCCCGAAATAGACGATATAGTACAAGTCCAAGCGACATCATAAAATACACAACATATATACAGCTGGTTGAGAACGACAGAACGCAAAAGAGAGTGATCTTTTTATTTTTCTCTAGCTTCGAATAGAACGCAAGAATTCTCGGGATTCAGGAGGTTAAAGTCGATTTTTTAAAAAGTAGAATTTCAAAACAATTTAAAGTGTATACTAGTTTTCTTATTGAATAGTTCTATCTAATTTATCGTAACGAACGGAATTAATATAGTCTACCAATAATAGAATATCACCACCCAGACTAAAAGTGACGTTCCAATGGCATCGTTATGAAAAATAGATGGATATCATAGATTCCATTATATTTATACTCTTCAACTATGGAATCTTTCGACATTTATATATTTCGACCAAAGTTGGGAGAATCATACTAGTTATACTCGAGAAAGAGATCCCTTCTGATTCTTATACGCTTTCTCTTCTAGTTAACGTTCCTGCGAATGCCACGTGGGCACAGAACGGGGTGACTATTGCTGGAGGTCACGGGAAAGGGGATGCCACTAATCAACTCTACATCCCTCATGGTCTCTTCGTTGATGATGATCAAACAGTGGTTATTGCTGACCGAGGGAATCATCGTATCATGCAATGGAAGAACGGTGATACAACGAATGGACAAGTTGTTGCTGGTGGTAAAGGCAAAGGAAATGGATTACATCAATTGGATCGTCCAACTGATGTATTAATTGACAAAGAGATGGATAGTCTCATTATTTGTGATTATTGGAATCGACGAGTTGTACGATGGTCTCGTCGTAGTGGTACAACACAAGGTGAAATACTCATCAACAACATCGATTGTTATGGAGTAGCAATGGATGAGCAGAGATATCTCTACGTCTCTGACACCGAAAAACATGAAATAAGACAATATCAATTGGGTGAGAAGAATGGCACTCTCGTAGCTGGTGGTAATGGTCATGGTGATGGTCTCAATCAACTTAACAAGCCGGCATATCTCTTTGTCGATCGAGATCATTCAGTGTATGTATCAGACAGCGACAATCATCGTGTAATGAAATGGGCGGAAGGTGCAAAAGAAGGTATTGTGGTCGCTGGAGGACAAGGCGCAGGGAGTGCTCTGACACAATTGTATTGGCCTGAAGGAATCTTCGTTGATATGTTGGGTACACTCTATGTAGCAAACTCGTTGAATAATCGTGTAATGCGTTGGACTCAAGGAGACAAGAAACAAGGCGCTATAATTGTGGGTGGAAATGGTCAAGGAGAAGGAGCAAATCAGTTCAACGCCCCCTTTGGTTTGTCTTTCGATCGACATGGTAATCTCTATGTCGTCGATAATGGTAATTATCGTGTTCAACGATTTTCTATCGAATAAGACTTGTGAATTGTTTTTTCTTTGTTCGTTTCTTTTTCTCTACTTTGAAATAAATGAACAAAAAAAATAAATTTTCTTTTACTCGTTCGCTTCAAAGAAAAGAAAAAAATATAAAATTACGTCATATGTTTTTTTTCTTCTCCTTTTATTTATTTACTTGTTAAATGAAAAAAAATAAATTGATTGGAATGAAAAATTATTTTTTTTTGCTTACCAGCTAATAATTGCTCGCGCGACCAAGAACTACCTTGGTGGTGCCATAGAGAGCCAAGGCTGTTCACGTACAGACATAGATCTAGCGTGTATAGAACATACAACAGGAAGATCTATATGCGGCCTGTACGTGCTATGGGCACCAAGGTAGACATGGCCAGTTTCACGCCGATGTATGGAAGGCCTCCGTAGGACGTAAAGAATATACATATTTACAAAAAGTTATGCTTACTCTTTTGCGCATTACTAAAATAGATAATAGAAAGACAATTATATACAATTATAAAATAGAAAAAGGTAAAATTGAAACTAAAATAGATAATAGAAAGACAATAATCATTATATAAAAATTAAAATAAATGGGATAAAAAGCTGAGACAATAAAAAAAATAAACTAAAACTAATACTTACCTATGATATTGAACCATGATCGTTACGAATAACAAGCTAAAATAGTGAAATAATAAACTATACATGTAATATAGTAAGAAGAGAAAGAAAGATGGGGAATGATTTCTAACGTTGAAAATCATTACTATTTATAGTCATTTTTGTCATTCGTAAGAAATAGACAATTGGTAAGCAATCAACATCAAATGAATTTCATTTCTGTTTGTAAAAATTAACCTCCCGCTCACTACATAAATTGGTCTTTTGATAGTTTAATTGACTGTTATACAAGCGATCGTAAAGATCACAAGCATTGCTAAGGGTGACAAAAAAACAAATTTTGTTATTTTCACTAGACCGCTAATTGATTTTTTATGTTGTCGTGTTACATAGTATATGCACCGACAACATTTATTGACGATCTTTTATATTCGACAAACATTTTTCATTAGAAAATAACGAAAATTCTATATTGAATATCTTCCTGTGATGGTAAGAAATTCAGATTACGGACATGACTTTCCAGACCGAATCTCAACCTAATTTTATTCTCCTGATAATCAGCATTCATCGCTTATTATTTTCCACAAGTTTATTTTGTATTTTATCATAACTCAAATTTTTCTGGTAATGAATAAGTATATAAATGAAAATGCATATGCACAGGATGGTGTAAAATTTCACGAAGTTTCAGAATATGTCGTTACTTTTAAAAAAATATATTCTTTTGGATATATATATATATATATACAGCTTTTATGTCTAACTAAAACTTCACAGAAAAAACTGGTACATGATCACTGTGTGAATGTTTTTTTTTCTTTTGAACTATTTTGTATTTTGTACTTAGTATTAAACAAGTTCTCAGTCAGCCCACTAAATAGGCGAAAGGAAAAATACTATTAAAAAAACAAATGTCACTATATAGTACAAGAATTTGTTCAAAACACATGATTATACACATTAAAAGTTTTTTTTTCGTTTAACAACCATCTGATGGTTGCATAGATTGATTTCGAGAGATAATCAATTTAGTTCACTCACCCACACCATTTTGACAATCGATTTGTCTTATATGTAAGAAAATTTTCTTCGCCTTTCAACAAGACTCTTAGAACAATTCTCTCGTGTAGTTTATTTGAGATATTAAGTCGGAAGAAATATTTTTCTTTTATATGAAAACAGATTATGTGAGAAAAAGATATTAAATTTTGAAATACGATTCAACTGTTGTTATTAATTGCAGAGAGAAATTGTTTTACTATATAAATCTTGAGATTTAATTCTTCATCTTCTCTCTATTTGAAACCACCAGAAAAGTGTTGTAGCAAACCATTATTGATCTACAGTTTTTGATCGTATAATAACAACGTATTTACTATTGTCTATCTCCGTCGAAGTTTTCACATTCTCTTGTACAATTTATACGTCAAGAAACAAAAAGGAAGACATTACACTTTTAACATCTCACAACGCTTTATTATATTACTTTTAACATCTCACAACGCTTTATTGTATTAATTTTTCGATCTTCATGTAACATTTACAACAGATCTTAAAAACTGACCATCACATATTTGGACCCTTGTCATATTCACGTAGATCAATAAAGCATGTTCCATTAGTTTCATATTGCTGAATAATAGCCGTATTGAATATGTGCTTTTCCAATGTCATCAATTTTAATGAAGATGACCAGATAGGTCTAGATTCATCAATAAATCTATCGAATGCATATTCACACATGACTCCACATACAGATTGTATGCATCAATGGTATCGACTCGAGCTCCTGATTCCAACATCATTATATCTATCCAATTTTCTTTTTTCGTAAATTGGAGAAATACATGATGTTCGATTGATCGCCGACAAAATTCCTTAATTGCTGTTCCACTATTTTGATCATCAATAATTAAACAATCTTAGTTATCCGAAGATCTTTCCAAATCACTACTATTGAGAATCATAAAAATAAATAATATTGGTCTCTGCGCAATGGAAACGATGAAATTATTTTACTCTATTTTTCAGTTAACACTTACATGTGTTCACTGACGAAAAGATAAAAAGAAACGAAAATCCACTGTATCCACATTATATTTTACTCAACAAGTAATTTCTAACGATCACTATTAATAATATTTACCATTAATGAATTCGTGTGTTACTCTATTTAAATCAGACTGATATATGACAACTATCTAAATAGACACTTTCATAATCTATGACAGTTTTATTTATGCCAAACGCTTTGACAGATTTGATATTTCTTTTTATTAGTTACCATCAAAAAATTGTGCCGATAATATGCACCATATTTCGATCCATTAGAGCAATATTTTACTGTAAAATTTGATGAAATAGTGATGAATATTAGTGGGATCATCTTCAATAAAAATATTGATCATTGCCACTTTAAAAAAAAGAAAATAGC